CACGGAGAAAAAGAGAAAAAACAAAAAAAAAGAGACGGAGACGTGTAATCGGCCCGAGAGCCGGCAGAGAACGCGACGCCACGGCAACGATCTGATGATAACAACCAAGAGCACGAGCACAATCAAGCCTGCGGAGGTCCGCGCGGACTCCCTGGGTCGCGCCGACCCCCCCGATCCACGGAACCCCGTCGGGGAAAAACGCGAGACTCGAGTCTGTCGGGGGCGGCCGAGGAGACGCGTCCAAGAGGGGGGGGTCGCAAAGCATGGCGGGCTGCAGGTGCGCGGCCCAAGGGGGGGGCTGGCGACGCGTATTGAAACAAGAAGAGGCGCAATGAAATCTGGGGAAGTATCATGGCCCCAGCCATGACATCCACCGCCCCCCAGTCATCACCCCCCTCTCTGCCGCGCCCGAGCTTTGGGGGAACTCGGGTTGGCTTAACAGGGCCGTCAGAAAAAAATATGGGACTTGGTCTCAGATCTGTCGCGAGCTCTCGCTGCAAGCACCCCACAACAAGTGGACCACCTAATAGAGGCCTCCCAGATGGGGTCGGAGAAGATGGGGTCGGAGGATCGCCCAATGCCAATGCATCGCCGATGCATTGGCGACGTCGACGACGCATCGGCGCCGTCGGCGTGGAGAAAATCGGGCTCCGCATCGGCGATGCGGCGCGATCCTCCCACCCAATCTGCTCCGACCCCATCTGGGAGGCCTGGACCCGAGCTCACGCCGAAACCAACAAAGAGCAGCGGCAGACCCGAGCTCCGAAACACTCGAGCTTCACGCTTCCCCGACCCTGCACGGCACCCCCTGGCGCCTGGCACTGCTCCCGGCGCGTGCAGGGACCCAGACCCCCGGCTTCACGATTTTTTCATGCCGTCGACCCCCAGAGGTTTCGACCTAGTCCCCAGGACCGGTCTTTCGCCCCGAGTCGCTTTCTGACGGTCCCGAGGCCCTGTAAGGGCCCCGAGAGGCCAAAACCCTCGCAAGACCGCCCGTCCGGATGCTCTTCGCAGCGCGGGGAGCCCTGGGGGAGGGGGACGCGCGCGGCCCTGCCCACAACCTGTATGCCTGAGCATCGCTCGATCGATCCATCCCTCCATCCCCACCAGCGTGGGCTGGGCCCCACTGGCCGATTTGCCCCCCTAAGTAAAATATTACATTGATGAACTGATTCGCGAAGCGAAGCTTCATGACATTAAATCAAGTATTGATCTTCTTTACCTATCGCTGATCTTTATTTCGCAAATTTATGCGATTTCTAGAAGATGGGTGGGCTGCTCTCTTCGGGCTTCGAGGGGCAGACATCCCCAGCCGAGGTGGTGCACGAGGCGGGGGGCTCGAGACGTGGCTGGGGATGGGGGCAGGGAGCGGTGCAACGATACTTCTGGAGTCCCGAAACGGTGCGGTGACACACCGTGCGGTGACCTCGAAGTCCCCCAAGACCTCACCGCACGGTCCGTCACCGCACGGCTTTGGGACCCTGGAGGCCTCTGTCGCCCGAGACATCCTCGGAGAGGGACTCGAGTCCGAGGAGGAGAGGAGGAGGAGGAGGAGGAGGAGGAGGAGGAGGAGGAGGAGGAGGAGGAGGAGGATGACGAGGAGGACGAGGAGGAGGAGGAGGAGGAGGAGGAGGAGGAGGAGGAGGAGGAGGACCCCGAATCCCCACCGACTCACCGCACGGCGTGGTCACCGCCCCGTTCGGGGGCCCCCGAGAACACTGCAACGCCCGCGCCGCGCGCGGAGAGGCCGCGGGGGGAGGGGGCGCGCGGCGGCACGGTATGGCGGGCGCCGGCCCCTCGGCATGACCCGCTCGGCGGTCTGGCGCGTGTTCTCCCAGGGCTCCCGCTTCGAGCCGGGGAGCCTGGGGCAGGAATCGTTTTTTTTGGGGGGGGGCGACCGACCCAGACCTCCAAGACCCCCTCCCCAGAGATCCGATGTCGTAATTTTTTCAATGCGGGGTCCCCGGAATTCTCGACAGGTTTTTCATCCTGAGTCGTTTTTTGACTGTCCCGGGGCCCGGCGACGGCCGCCAGAGGCCGAACATCGAGGGAAACCTCCGTCTTGATTCTTTCAATGCGTCGGAGGTCTGGGTCCGAGCAGTGACAGGATCATGACGGGAGGCCTGTCGCCATTGTCGGCCGCTGGGGCCCCTTGCTGAGCCTCGGGGCCGTCTAAAAGCGGCTCGGGACGACGAGCTGGTCCAGGGGAACAGGTCGAGACCTTGGCAGGTCGACGTCATGGAACAAATCATGACGTCGGAGGTCTGGGATTGGGGGGGGAGGAAGAAAGGTACCCTTTTCGGGAGGCCGTCTTTGGGGCCCTCGAGGGCCCCTTGAAGGGCCTCTTTTCTGCAGCGCTCGCTGCCCCCCCAGGCCTCGGGGAGCTGCTGACCCGGATCCATCCCAACCCGGGTCCGTCGGGCTCTGCAGGATCCTGCACGCGAGCCTGGGTCAGTGCACGCTGTCAGTGCAAGATCCAGCGCGCTCTGACTGACCCCCGCTCGCATTGACCCCCGTCCCTAGAAGAGAACACAGCATACGCCTAGACGTTCGACGGTCCGTGCGGATTTTCGGGAACTGCGCTGGGCCCCCCTCTCTGGCGCGCGGAGCGCGCTGGGGGCGGCGCCGAGGAGGCGCCGCTGGGGCGCTGCAGCGCAGCTCCGCGAAGTCCGCGCAGACCGTCAACAGTTTACCTTTATGCCGCTTTTCCTCTTCGAGCCTCTAGAGGTCTGCTAGATGGGGTCGCGGAGTAGATGGGGTCGGAGGATCGCGCCGCATCGCCGATGCATCGCCGATGCATCGGCGATGCATCGGCGATGCACCGGCGATGCCTCGTCGACGTCAGCGATGCACCGGCGACGTCGACGCGAAGCAAATCGGGCCTCCGTCCCCATCTACTACGGCCCCATCTGGGAGGCCTCTCGAACCCAGAAATAGTCCGAGAACCGAAAGAGTGTTCTTAGAACACGAGCCCGATGTGTTAAAACAAAGCAGCCTGAGCCAGAACTGTTCTAAGAACATTCCGTTCAGACCCCACAGAAGGTTCTCGCAGCATTGTTTGGTGGGCCTGTAGGCCAGCCAGGACGCCTCGCCACTGCCTGATCCGAGTCTCTTGAGCTCCGGGAGCCGCAGGCACTCGCCGGAGCCCCAGCTTCATGACTTTCTCATGGCGTCGACCCCCATGCAGAGACTTCGAGCCCTCTTCCGGGACCTGTCCTTCATCCCGAGCCGCCCTTTGACGGCCCCGAGGCCCGGTGAGGGCCCCCCGGGGGGCTGAGCATTGCGAAACACCTCCCGCCATGATGAAGTTCAGTTGCTCGGAGGGGGTCCCACTTCCACCCTCCTCATGTCTCCCCATCCCCCTCCCCCTCCCACATTCGCCCCCTCCTCCGCCTCCTCCTCCTCCTCCTCCTCCTCCTCTTCTTCCTCGTCCTCGTCCTCCTCGCCCACCTCGTAGTCCTACTCATCGTTCTCGTCGTCCTCCTCCCCTCCTCCTCCTCCTCCTCCTCCTCCTCCTCCTCCTCCTCCTCCTTGTCCTCCTCCTCCTCCCCCTCCTCCTCCTCCTCCTCCTCCTCCTCCTCCTCCTCCTCCTCTGGGTCCTTCGAGTCTCTTGAGCTCCGGGAGCCGCAGGCACTCGCGCCGCCGGCCGTCCGCGAAGCGCTCCTCGCGCTCGGCCAGCACCGCCGCCCGGCGCCTCCCCCGGCCGCCGGCGCCGCAGGGGCGGGCGCCGCGGCCGCCGGCGGCCCCGGGCGGGCGCAGCCGCAGCACGACGATGTTGACCACGCGGACCTGGATGGGGCACAACGGACCCAGACCCCCTCGAGCAGAGTGAACGAACAGTCACGGCGGGGATGCTCGTCGCCATGTTCGGCCTCGGGGGGCCCTGGCTGGGCCTCTCGGGGCCGTCAAAAAACGCCTCGGGATGAAACACCGGCCCCTGGAGGAGCACCACTTGAACAGGGACCGACCGTCCCGGCATTCGCACAGGCCAACCACGACATGCTCTCAGAACTCAGCAATGTTCTGAGAATGCAAGCAATGTTCTCAGCTCATGTGCCAGATGTGTGAGAACGAAGCAGTCCCGGCAAGAAAAATGTTCAGAGGACAGTTCGTGGAAACCGCACAAGGTTCTCAGAACTTTGCTTGGCAGGCCTCTGCGCACGCCAGGACGCCTCGCCGCTGCTTGAACAGCGCGGCGACAGCACACAGAGTCGACCCGCATTCACCACAGGGATGCGCGATCAGGACATGCAGGGGCCCTGGACGCCGACCTCGACGCGTGTCGAGCGGGGCGCGGCCCACGAGAGTGGCCAAGCACGGGCCGAGGACGCCGACCTCGAAGCGTGTCGAGCGGGGCGCGGCCCACGAGAGTGCCCAAGGACGGGCCGAGGGGGCACGGCAGGGATGCCAGGGGCGTGCGCCCGTGGGAAGGTTTTGCGCATCCCTGCGGGCGGACGGTGCCCGCCGGCTGGGCAGCGGCAGGTCGATTCCACGCCGCGGGAGGGCGCCGGAGATAGCCTGGGCTTCCGCCCGCCCGCCCCTTTTGAGGAGAGAGGAGGGGCAACCGCTCGTCTCTTGAGGCAGGAAGGCGCCCCAATTAGATTCGGGGATGGACAGACCTCCCTTTAGCAAAACGTGGTTTAGTGAAAACGACCTGAGGCCCAAACCTGGCGGGCGCAAGCCTGGAAAATAACGGCCGCGGCGCCCTCTCCAGAATCGAAAACGGACAATTCACTAATCGACATGTCACTGTTGGGGGTTCCGTCCACCCCCGATAGATTGTGGTCGGGATGACAAAAAAAAACGTAGTTTCGCTGAGGTCCGCGCGGACTTCTTGCATCGGCGCCGGCCCCCAGCCCCGGCCCATCCCTGCCTGGCGCGCTCCACGCGCCAGGGGCGGCGCTGGAGGCGCTGCCAAAAGGAGGCCCCTCGCCGATCTCCAGGGTACCCGCGCGGACCCCCGAGAACTCATGCTCGTGCCGTTTTGGTCCTGCGGGGGCCAGCTTCTTGTGCTCCGATGCGTCGAGCAGCAGCTCCGCCGCGCCGCTCTGCACCTCGCCCGCGAGCTGCTGCAGCGTGCGCGCCGAGCCGACGCCGAACTCGGAGGGGTCGACGCCGTGCTCCCGCAGCATGTTCGTGAAGGTGCTCAGGTTGGCCGCGTCCTCCGGGAAACAGAAGCGATGGCACAGACACAAAAACTCGGAAGTCCGTGCGGATTTCTCTGAAGGGGCACCAGGACACACGAATAAATACATACAAATAAAAACATTCACCATATTTTCTGGGTTTCTGTCTTCCCCCCACTATATTTTTGCATATTCTCCTGGTAGTCGACGATTAATTGTGTCTGTGTGTTTCTTCCCCTCCTGATTCTCGCATCGGCGCTGGACCCCCTGGCGGCGCCTCCGGTGCCGCCCCCGGCGCGCTCCGCGCGCCGGGGCTCCAGCGCGGACCCGAGACATAATTAGAGGGCAGAACGCCCCCCCCATAAGAACCAACCCGACACGCGAAGCCGTTGCGCAAACGCGCCTGAAGAAAGAATCAAACAGGGCAGGGATGTTTATCGGGGATGGACAGACCCCCCTTTAGTAAAATGTGGTTTAGTGAAAACGACCTGAGGCCCAAACCTGGCGGGCGAAAGCCTGGAAAAGAACGGCCGCGGCGCCCTCTCGAGAACCGAAAACGGACAATTCACTAATCGACATGTCACTGTTGGGGGTTCTGTCCACCCCCGACACAAAAACTCAGAAGTCCGTGCGGATTTCTCGCATCGGCGCTGGACCCCCCTGGCGGCGCCTCCGGCGACGCCCCTGGCGCGCTCCGCGCGCTGGGGCTCCAGCGCGGACCCGAGAAATAGAACCCTAAGTCTCTAAACCCTAAACCCTAAATATCTAATCCTATAATTATCAAAACCTACACCCTGTAAATCCGGCTTCATACGACGGGCCAGACATGTAAACCCTCACCATTCCTTGCAACAAATAGATATTACCCTGGCAAAGCAACCTAACAGCGATGTGTAGGAGCATATCTGGAAGCATAATCCTTAAGATTCAGATGAGAATCCAGTTGTAGAATTCTGCTGTTCTCGCAGTCGTAGTCGCATTCGCGATGACAGTCGCAGTGGCAACGCAACGGCAGTCGCAGTCACAGCCTCAGCCTCAGCCTGCCTCAGCCTCAGCCTGCCTCAGCCTCAGCCTCAGCCTGCCAGTCAGCCTTCAGCCTCAGCCTCAGCTCAGCCTCAGCCTCAGCCTCAGCCTCAGCCTCAGCCTGCCTCAGCCTCAGCCTGCCTCAGCCTCAGCCTCAGCCTGCTTCAGCCTCAGCATCAGCCTGCCTCAGCCTGCCTCAGCCTCAGCCTGCTTCAGCCTCAGCCTCAGTCTGCCTTCAGCCTCCATCAGCCTCAGCCTGCCTCAGCCTCAGCCTGCCTCAGCCTCAGCCTCAGCCTCAGCCTGCCTCAGCAGCCTCAGCCTCAGCCTCAGCCTCAGCCTCAGCCTCAGCCTGCCTCAGCCTCAGCCTCAGCCTGCTTCAGCCTCAGCCTCAGTCTGCCTTCAGCCTCGGCCTCAGCCTCAGCCTGCCTCAGCCTCAGCCTGCATCAGCCTCAGCCTCAGCCTCAGCCTGCCTCAGCATCAGCCTGCCTCAGCCTCAGCCTCAGCCTGCCTCAGCCTCAGCCTCAGCCTGCTTCAGCCTCAGCCTCAGTCTGCCTTCAGCCTCGGCCTCAGCCTCAGCCTGCCTCAGCCTCAGCCTGCATCAGCCTCAGCCTCAGCCTCAGCCTGCCTCAGCATCAGCCTGCCTCAGCCTCAGCCTCAGCCTGCCTCAGCCTCAGCCTCAGCCTGCTTCAGCCTCAGCCTCAGTCTGCCTTCAGCCTCGGCCTCAGCCTCAGCCTGCATCAGCCTCAGCCTCAGCCTCAGCCTGCCTCAGCATCAGCCTGCCTCAGCCTCAGCCTCAGCCTGCCTCAGCCTCAGCCTCAGCCTGCTTCAGCCTCAGCCTCAGTCTGCCTTCAGCCTCGGCCTCAGCCTCAGCCTGCCTCAGCCTCAGCCTGCATCAGCCTCAGCCTCAGCCTCAGCCTGCCTCAGCCTCATCAGCCTGCCTCAGCCTCAGCCTCAGCCTCAGCCTCAGCCTCAGCCTCAGCCTGCTTCAGCCTCAGCCTCAGTCTGCCTTCAGCCTCGGCCTGCATCAGCCTCAGCCTCAACCTCAGCCTGCCTCAGCCTCAGCCTCAGCCTGTCTCAGCCTCGGCCTCAGCCTGCTTCAGCCTCAGTCTGCCTTCAGCCTCGGCCTCAGCCACAGCCTGCCCAGCCTCAGCCTGCCTCAGCCTCAGCATCAGCCTGCCTCAGCATTCAAAATGTAGCCCGGGAGTGGAGTTCTGGGAACTCGGATAATACGAAGCGGCGTACAGCCGGCCCCGGGCACCCTAAATCACGCCCAGAAACGGAGTTCTGGGAACTCGAAGACGACGAAGCGGCCCACAGTTGGCTCCGGGCACCCAAAATCATGCCCAGGAATGGAGCTCTGGGAACTCGAAGACCACGAAGTGGCCTACAGTTGGCTCCGGGCATTCAAAATCATGCCCAAAAATGGAGTTCTGGGAACTCGAAGAACACGAAGTGGCCTACGGTTGGCCCCGGGCATTCAAAATCATGCCCAAGAATGGAGTTTTGGGAACTCGAAGACCACGAAGTGCGTTACTGTTGGTTAAAAAAGGAGCGCCCGGATTCCCGGGGCACCCGTCCGGCATCTGCCCAGACCCCCCTGGGGAGTCATGATGCTCTCTTTTGAGACCACTCGAAACCTATCAGTCTTCGCTGTTAGGTAACTATATCCTGATCATTATCCGCGCGCACCCCCCTCCATCCCATGCAAAAAAATATCCTGATCATGCGTCGCGCTCACCCCCCTCCATCCTATGCAAAAAAATACTGTATCCTGATCGTGCGTGCTGTAAAACCTCGTCATACCTTGCAAACGATATTATTTCCTGATCATTCTTCGCGCTCACCCCCCCTCCATCCGATGCAAAAAAAATGATATCCGGATCATGCGTGGTGTAAACCGTCGCCATCCCTTGGACCAAAAATATTTCCCGATCGTGCGTGCTGTAAACGCTTGCCATCCCTTGCAAGCGCTCCCAGGCGCTCCCACGTGCTCCCATGCGCTCCCAGGCGCGCTCCCAAGTGTTCCAGGCGCTCCCAAGCGCTCCCAGGCCCTCCCACGCGCTCCTAGGGGCGCCTAGGCGTTGCAGGCGCTCCCAAGCGCCCTCAGCGCTCCCACGCGCTTCCATGCGCTCCCCAGCGCTCTCATTCGTTGTACTTACAACGGGGGGAAAGATGATCTTTATGGGGGGGTGGTTTGCGGGTGGGAATGACAGCCACCGCAGGTGGGCTCCTAGGCAGGAGGGGACAAGCTGCGGCAGAGCTTGGAGACCCTAAACCCTAAACTTTAAACCCTAAACCCTGGCGGCGCCTCCGGCGCCGCCCCTGGCGCGCTCCGCGCGCCGGGGCTCCAGCGCGGACCCGAAACATAATTAGAGGGCAGAACCCCCCCCATAAGAACCACCCCGACACGCGAAGCCGTTTGGCAAACGCGCCTCAAGAATTAACGGGCGAAGAACGGTGTAAAATAAACTTTTTCGCCGTCGGGGACACCTGCCCCTGGGCGGCTGGAAAGTTTATACCCTTACGGTGGCACCATAGGGGTATAAACTTTCCAACCGCCCTGGGGCAAGTGTCCCCGACGACGAAAAAATAATGTTATACCGTTCCCTGACTCCGGATCCGCCCTACTTTGGGGAAATTCGTAAGTAGGGCTTGGAATGTCCGCCTTACTTTTCAAGCCCCGCTGATGCCAATTTCCTCCCTACTTTTCTGTCATTGTTTCCGCCCTACTTCTGTGGATTTTCGCCTCATTTTATGTTGGGTGCAGAAATCTCCGCCCTACTTTTTCGGCTCCTTATAATAGGTGGATTTCCGACGCAATTTCAAGTTGGAAAACAAGCCAAAGTAGGGCGGATCTGGAGTCAAAGTTCTTCGCCCGTGAACAATTGTCCGCTCCGGGCGGCTCTCCCCTGAAGACAGACGCGCGGACCTCCGAGTTTTTTTGTGTGCATGTCCTCCTTCGCTCCCCCCGTCCTGGCCCTGCGAGAACCACGGGCTCCGGGACGGCCCCGAGCGCTCCCACGGCTCCAGGAAGCCGCGCTGCCTGCACCTGCCGGGGAGGCGTATGGAAGGCTCGGGTACGGGGGAGTCGGGTTGGCAAGACGGGGCCGCCGTAAAAATGGCGAGGCCCAATCTGAAATCTGACGCGAGCTCCCGCTGCAGACGCCCCACGGAAACGGGACCGCCAGGGCCCAGGACGCGCTCGTCGGAAGACCTGGGCAAGCCCGAGTTCCAGCTTACTCGAGTCTTTTACGTTTCCCCGAACCTGTTGCTGTCCCACCACTCGTACCACGTCTTCGCCCCCGCCTCCTCCACGCAGAGGCCGCGCCGAGCCCGCCGGCCCAGGCAAGGGGCGCAGCTCTGCCTGGCGCCCGTCGCCTTCGTGTGCTCCATGTTCAGGCGATGGATGAGCTCCTGCCGGACGGCGGACACAGAAAAACTTAGGTCGGAGATGTCCTCCTGCGGGGGGAGCTTGGACGAAGAATAACGAGTAGTAAACTAATACCCCCAGAGGAGTCAAACATTGCCCCAAAAGCGTCCCCAGGCTATTTTTCCCCAATCAGTGCTTGCACTGAAGGGGTCCTAGTGGAAGTTGAAAGATTTGGCGAAAATTTCCCGCCGATTGGTAGCCAGCTGGGTTCCCGGGTTCCGGTTCCTGGTTCCCGGTTCCGGGCCGATTTCGGAGGGCGGCGAGGTTCCTGGGTTCCCCGGTTCCTGGTCGATCTTCTTATCGATCGGTCTCACCATCGATCTCATTACCGACTTCGCGATCGAGCTCACCATCGATCTCACCATCGATCTCACAATCGATCTCACGATCAATCCCACAAGCGATCTCACTAGAGATCGCATGAGCGATCTCGCGATCGATATCACTATCGATCTCATTTAATCGATTTCACTCTTGGTCTCACGATCGACCTTACAATCGTCCTCACTACCGATTCCACTATCGATCTCATTATCGATCTCAAGATCCATAGTATAGTATCAATTTTCAACTCATTCACTGATTGGGGTTTTCTCAGGTGCACTGTGGACTACTTTTGGAGACTCCTCCTGCAGAGGGACTGGCCCGTCTTTTTCCCCAATCAGTGCTTTCACTGAAGGGGTCCTAGCGGAAGTGGAAAACTTTGGCGAAAATTTCCCGCCGATTTTGGTAGCAGGCTGGGTTCCCGGGTTCCCGGTTCCGGGGTTCCCGGTTACTGGTAGCGCGCGAGTCGGTTCGGGTTCGGTTCCCGGTATAGCGACCGACCCCTGGCAGCAGGCTGGGTTCCCTCCCTGGCTCTGGGGCCGATTTCGGTGGGCTCTGGGCTCCCGGGCTCCCGGGCTCCCGGTCGATCTGCTCAGCGTAAGCCATCCACTGCTTGGGTTTATCTCCCTGGTGCAACTTTAAGAAAAAACGCACCCACGACTGCGTATTTCCTATAGCCCTACCACGACATGTTGTTAGAACCCAAAAATGTTCTTAGAACAAAAGCAGTGTTCTTAGAACATGGACCCGATGTGTTCAAACAAGACAGTATCCGCCAGAAGTGTTCTAAGAACACTTCGTGGGAGCCACAGAAGGTTCTTAGATCATTGTTTGGTATGGCTATAGGCGAGCCGGGACGCTTCGCCACAGCTTGAACGACGGCGGGCCTCTCCACGGCCCACCAGATGTTCGCGCACGGAAGCCTCTGCCGTGCTCCAGCTCTAGGGGAACACAAAGTGGCATAAGCATAAAAACTCGGAGGTCCGCACGGATTTCTCGCATCGGCGCTGGGGCCCCCCGGCGGCGCCTCCGGCGCCGCCCCTGGCGCGCTCCGCGCGCCAGGGAAGGGGGTCCAGCGCTGATCCGAGAAATCCGCGCGGACCTCCGAGTTTTTATGTTTTTTGCCACGTTTTGTTCCCCTAATAGAAGTAAAATAACTATGCACATACACCGATTCTGGCCAGGCCCATCCTGAGCCCAGGAGCAGTGCATACGCCCGCTACCTTGGCCAGGAAGGTATATGCACCGATCCTGGGTCAAGGACGGGCCTTGCCAGGATCGGTGTATGTGTATAGTTCTCTTCGCCTGACCTAAGCTCTCTCCCTGCCCCCGCGCGTGCGCTCGTGCCAGGGACAGGGGCGAACGGCGCGGGCGGCCTGCCGCCCATCGGAGGCTGAGCACGGGCCCGCGGCCGACGACGGCGAGGGCGGCCACGAGGACGGTTACCAGGTCGACGACGACGACGACGACGACGACGACGACGACGACGACGACGACGACGAGGGCCGACTTTGCCGCTCAGAACCGCGCCCCTCCACGCGGCCCGCCCCGACCGGCGCGCCTCCCTTGGCCGCGCCGCGGCGCCGCGGTGACGAGGACGCCCCCCGCCCCGAGCAGCGCGCGCTCTCTGGGCCGCGCCGCGGGTGCCGCGGCGACGAGGATGCGAGGCCAGACACCATCTAGAGCCCCTGTCGAAGGGCGCAGACGACGGCGTTCCTCTGGCCCCACGGTGCCCTCAGCGGCCACGGGAGGAGGAGGAGGAGGAGGAGGAGGAGGAGGAGGAGGAGGAGGCGCCCAGAAACGTCCAGAGCCGCCCCTCCCTCAAATAGAAGAATTTGTTTTGAGCTCGACGCCCTCCCTGTCAGACTCCCAGCGATGCTGCGGCAGGAGGCTGCATCGCTGTCCAGCCGTATCTGGAACCTCCCTTCCAAAGGTAAGCAGGGGGAAGAAAAACAGAACAGCTGATCTGAGCTGCCCAACTCTTGATCATGACAGCATAACCAAAAGTGTTCGTCAGTAAATCCAGCTTCAGCTCTTGATCCCTTGTTCTGCGTCACTGGGCATGCGGGGGTTTCAGTGCGCCTGGGTTTTCTGCGTCGTTCTAAATACGCTGCGCGGGCGTTACCGTATTACGCCTGCGCACGCCCGTCAAGTTTGTAGATGGGACTCCTTCGTGGTTCGTTGGTCGCATAGCGCTGCTCTTCACAGCGAATTCAAAAACGTCGAAAGACGAAGTCTGGGATGCAGGTGCAGCGCACGTCCAGAAACGTGTCGCAGCCATGCTTAAGCTGATGCCCGTGCCCATGCTGCAGTCCGTTCTCCGAAGCGCCCACGGCTGATTGCGAATTGAAAAGAGGGACTTGTGACGGGCAGGGGGAGGGGGGGGGGCAAGGGGAACGGGGGATGGGGAATGGCCCCTGCGCTTGGACGGATCCCACATGGCCAAGCGCACTGCGCTCTTGGGAACGACTGCTCTGCCAGACGGCTCGCCTGCAAGTCTGGCGCCGCAAACGACCCTGAATTTGCCGATGGTTTTCCAGGACATCCGTTTCCAACAAAACGAATCGTATCCCGGGTGATCTTTGGATTTCCACAGCACAGAGGTTTTCTCGCTTTCTCTCAACATGAACTTTGACAGGCGGGGGAAAATCTATGCTGGATTACGTGCATTCGTCTTGCACGATCGCGCAGCATCAGCTCTCGGCTGCCCGCTTTCGGGGAACTCTGACGTCACACGAACCCCCTGCTCCTCCGGGCAACGCCGACCCAATTCGATCGGCTGCAACAAACATGCAATCAACGACAAGCGTGCCCGACCGACCCGTGGAGCAGTGCCGAGCCGATGGGGTGCTCTCTCGCAGGGCAGCCGAGCTCCGCATGCTTTTCGAGAGGTCGCTCGGGGAGGCACCCGTTCACAGGCGGTGAGCAGAGGTATCCCAGAAGCGTCGTGCTCATTACCCTCCTACCCGTTATTATCCTTCTCCTCGTCCTCCACCCCTCCGTCTTCTCTAAACGTTGCACCCTGCGTTTTGGATCCGCCTTCCTCTTCCGCCTCCTCCTCCTCCTCCTCCTCCTCCTCCTCCATCCCTTCATCGGTTGCCACTTTTTGTGCAACCTGCTCTTGGTCCAATCGGCTATACAGTGGAGGCCCGAACACAAGAAACCCAACCCTGAGACCCCAGGACGCCCATCGGTTTTTGGCGTGGGAACGTCACGCTTTCCATGGCAAAACTATCGAACCCCAAGAAACCCAGGGCACCCTGGAGGCAAGCAGGGTGCTTCTTGGCATGGGCCCCCCTGTATTTGAATTCGTGGGGGTCGCGCACATTTTGGCTTACAAATGCAACAATTTCGCGGGTTGAAGACAACCCGTTTTCAACGTGTGGCTCTCGCCTTAGCGCCGCGCACATTCGCTTCAAACATGTGCAAGAGTTTCACGGATCGAGGGCGGATCCTTTTCAAAACGTAGCTCTCGCAATAGCGCCGCGCACATTCGTTTACAACATTAGCAGCAGAGTTTCACGGATTCCCATGATCAGAGTACCAGCAATGTTTTCCCGGAAGGATTCAGAATTTTGTGGGTGCAGCAATTACGTTGATTCGCGGTGTTGAAATCCCAAAGATGGCATTCTGGCACGATCCAACATGGTCACGACGCAACAATCATATTGATCCGTGGCGTTGGAATCCCAAGGACAATGTTTTGGCATGCGTCAAGGTCTTCAAACGAGTGTCTTCCAGCGAGGCAGTTCCATCAACGAGAATCAGTCGCTACGCCGTTGTAAGGGCCTATGAAGAGGCACCTTGGAGGAAGGGTGTATTCCAACATAGTTGATGGCTCTTGGGGTTACACTGGTCCGCCTCCTCCTCCTCTCGCTCCTCCTGCTCCTCCTCTTCCTTCGCCTCCTCACATCCCCCTCCTCCCCATCTCCCTCCTCCTCCTCCTCCTCATCATCCTCCTCCTCCCTCCCTCCCTCCCTCCCTCCCTCCTCCCTCCCCTCCTTGTCCTCCTCCGCCTTGTCCCTCCTCCTCCTCCTCTCCTCCTCCTCCTCCTCCCCCCTCCCTCCCTCCCTCCCTCCCTCCCTCCTCCCTCTCCCCCTCCTCCCTCCTCCCTCCATCCCTCCTCCTTCCCCTCCCCCTCCCCCTCGTCATGTTCCTCCTCGTCCTCCTCGCCTTCCTTGTTCTCCTCCTCCCCCTCCTCCTCTCCTCCTCCTCCTCCTCCTTCTCCTTCTTTTCCCTCCTTCTCTCCTGCCTCATCATCCTTCCTTCCTTCCTTCCCCTCCCTCCCTCCCCCTCCCTCCCTACCTCCCTCTCCTCCTCCTGCTCCTGCTCCTCCTCCTCCTCCTCCTCCTCCTCCACTCCTCCCTCCTCCCTCCTCCCTCCTCCCTCCTCCCCTTCTGGCCAGCCAGCCGCAGTCCTGCCGCCTCTCTTTGACGTGGACGTTCGGCTCGTCCACTGGCAGCCGCGCCGACGCGGCGGGCTTCCGCCCGCCGAGGGCGCTGCTCCCCGGGCTCGCGTCCCGGTGGTGCGCGTCCCAGGAGAACCACTGGTGCGACACGACCTGCCGCGCCCCGAAGCTGTCGTCGTCGCCGTCGCCGCCGCCGCCGCAGCCGCCGCCGTCGTCGTCGCCGTCGTCGTCGCCGCCGCCGCCGCCGTCGTCGCCGCCTTCGCCGCCGCCGCCGCCGTCGTCGTCGTCGTCGTCGTCGTCGTCGTGGTGGTCGTCGTCGCCGTGGTCGTTGTCGTCACCGTCGTCGTCGTCGTCGTCGTCGTCGTCGTCGTCGTCGTCGTCGTCGTCATCGTCGTTGTCGTCGTCGTCGTCGTCGTCGTCCTCGTCGTCGTCGTCGTCGTCGTCGTCGTCGTCGTCGACGTCGTCGTCATCATTGTCACTGTTGTCGTCGCCGTCGTCGCCGTTGTTCGTTGCTATGGGGGGGCTCTAGCGTGTCGCAATTTTTCGGGCCAGGCGCTTTCTCATCCTTTCGGCCCCGGGGAGGCGTCATACATCGATCGGGCTCGACAGCATGCCGCAGAGTGGTACGGCCCAGGGCACCAGTCGCGAATTTTCGCCATGTCGCAGCCCTAGACATCCAGCGTTTCTCGATTTTTTCGAGACGCGTGCTCCCGACCTCTCGGCTACATCCCCGGGACCGGTTCCTCATCCCGACACGTTGTTTGACGCCCCCGAGGCCCTGCAAGGGCCCCGAGAGGCAGAATTATCCCAGTGCGACCCTACCTAGGAGTTGAGCGTCTAGGAAAGCAACATCTACATCTACACCGACAGCTACATGAACATCTACACCTGCATATACATCAACATCAATATCAACAGCGAGACTCACATCTACATCTACATCTACACCTACATCTACACCTACATCTACATCTACACCTACACCTACATCCACACCTACACCTACACCTACACCTACATCTACATCTACACTTTCGCATTGGTTTTGCTTTTGCGTTGCATTGATTTGCCTTTGTTTTGCTATGCTATGCTGCGCTATGCTATGCTACGCTATGTAATGCTATGCTACGATATGCTGCGCTATGCTATGATATGCTATGGTATGGTATGGTATGCTATGCTATGTTATGTTATGGTATGCTATGCTGCGCTATGCTAAGCTAAGCTAACCTGAGCTAAGCTATGCTATGCTGCGCTATGATATGCAATGCTATGATGTGCTGCGCTATGCTATGCTATCCCATGCTGCGCTACGCTATGCTGCGATATGCGATGTTATGATATGGTATGCTATGCTATGATAGGATCTGGTATGTTAATGCTGCGCTGAGCTAAGCTGAGCTAAGCTAGGCTAAGCTAGGCTCGGCTAAGCTAAGCGAAACCAAGCGAAGCTAAGCTAGGCCAGGCTAAGCAAAGCTAAGCTAAGCTAAGTTAAGCTAGGCTAAGCTAAGATGAGATAAGCAAAGCTAATCTAAGGGGGCGCAACTGGGGGAACCGCGGGGCGGATACTGGGGGAACCGCCCGGGGCGCTTTCCACTGCCCGGCCCCTTGAAACCCAGAGAGCAAGAACCCTTCTAGGCAAAGAAACTGTCACAAACCTCCGTGTCGGGGAGGACGGAGGAGACGGAGGAGGAGGAGGAGGAGGAAGGAAGAAGAGGAGGAAAGAAGAAAAGGAGGAGGAGGAGGAGCAGGATCCAGCAAAATCCTGCACGCAAGCCTGGGCAGAAGTGACAAGAGGCGCCAGAGGCTGGGGCTTTCGCGTCGTCCGATCTCGGGGTGCGCGGGGTCAGAGGAACTGGGGTTGGGAGGGCGACGCGGCCTGCCGCCCGGAGCGGGGGGGGGTGCGGGAAGGAAGGCGGAGGAGGAGGAAGAGGAGGAGCAGCAGGAGGAGGTGGAGGAGGAGGAAGAGGAGGGCGGAGAAGGAGGAGCAGGACGAGGAGGAGGAGGACCCCCCCCCTTTTTTTTACTCGACGAGTGGGGCTGCGTGCCGACTGATGGGAGTACATGTGAGGCTTGTGGAGCCCGTCGCTGGACCGCACTCTCGCGGATCCTGTCCTGGTCAGCTATGCAGGCTGGTGCGCACGCTCGATCGATGCTGCAACTCGGGCGCGGCGGAGGCAGGCTGCACACGAGGGGAGAGGCACGCACGCCTCTGGCAGCGGAAACCGCGTCTCGATAAGAACTGGGTCCCCGCCTCTGGGACAGAGCTATCTGCACATAATCACGGCACTAGAGAGGCTGGGAAAGGGGACAGGAATGCATTCAGCTGGCCAGGCAGCCAATGCTGTCAGCCACGCCTCAATCGAACTCGAATGGGCAATACTCATCGTCGGAGTCGATCGGGTCATGGCGGGGGGAGGCAGGGGCGTGGGAGGGGTAGATGCCGTGCCCCCGATAGTCTCTCCCTGTACAAACACTACGGGGTCAGCACCTCTAGCCGCGACGCCATCTCGTCTTCCAGCCATCCAGGCGGGGCTACACCAGTGTGGCGCTGGGCCACTCCCTCCGGGATGAAGGCGTTCGTGACCGTGCCCCGCATGGGCCACACTGGCGCTGCCACCTGGAGCTTCACTTTCTCCTCGTCGAAGCATCTCTCGATGCGGGTGGCCGCCGCGTCCAGCTCCAGGTGGGTTCTTGTGATCGGCGGCTCCTCTCCATTGACTGGGATGATTTGTTCCACGTGCTTGCCGTGGTCGGCCTTCGCTTTTCCACCTATATCGCACTCCATCAGACTCTCTAGAAGGCCGACCACGAGGCTCGCCACTGGCGAGCCCACCCCTCGCAGCGCCTCGGCGCCGCTCGGGCGGGCTGCCTCCACCTTCTTGCGGTGCTCGATCATCGCCGCCTCGAGCCTCTGGACCACGCGGTGCGTCTTGGGGATCGTGAACGTGTCGATCGTCGTGGCCGATGACAGTCGTTGCCTGAACGTCGTTTGAAGCGTGGGCTTCGTCAGCATCGCCAAGCGCTGCATCAAGTTCTGGTCTTTCGATGTCCATGTCTTATCGCTGCGGTGACCGCGTCTGCGCCTCCTGCCGCCTCGGTGTCCTTGACCGCTCATGCCGCCCTTGCCGCCGCTCTTGCCGCCCTTCTCCTTCAGCGTGTCCACCTCCCCCATGACGCGGTCGCCGCCCCTGTCGCCCTTGCGCGGGTTCTTCGCGGGCGGCGGCGCCAAACCGTCGCTCCCGGAAGTGCTGGGGGCAGGGCAGGAGCCCTTCAGGAGCCACGCGGGCGGCCGAGCCGCCGCCGACGCCGCCGCCGCCGAGCTCGTCATCTTCAGCAGCTGCCGCAACCAGGGGCCGTCGAAGGAGAAGGGGTGTGCTCGCGGCTGTCACCCGCGATGTGGCGCTCTCAAGCACGCGTTCTGCCCTCGAGGGGGCTGGGGCTGGATCCACTCGTGGTAGCCGATGTCCCTGTGGCTGCCGTCGTAGTCGTTCAGCGCGTTGTTCTCGAAGCTCTGCCAACCGTTGATAGCCCGCTCGGAGCCGTTCTCGTTCTTCTGGGGTGTCCTCTGGTCGCCAAGCCGGCGGCGGCAGCACCTCGCGTCCGAGTGGGCCTCGAGCGCTGTGGGCGGGTCGTGGCTGAGATGTTTTGAGCCGAGGTCCTGACGGACATGGGGGAATGTGCGTGCGAGTGTGTCTTCGCAGCTCCAGCGCATCAAAATAATGAATGTGGCACTCAGGCTGGTCGCTGTATTCTCCCATTGGGCACTCGGTTACCTCGGAGGGGGTCCAGGTATGTGTGTGTCTCGTCAGCTCCGCGATGCATCTGCCCGACATCCACGCTCGAAACAAGTGCCGCCGTGCATGATCAATACTAGCGAAGACAGCGTCGCAGTTGATGCACTTACTGTCTATACACACCTGCGAGAGGACGGGAGGAGCGCCGTGGCCCTCGAGCGTTGTCGCGTTGATCTGGCGCTTGACAAGCTCGCGCTTCGCCGAGAATCTGGCACGGCATCCCTTGATCCCGCGCAACAGGGGGCGAGCTCCTCATCTTCACTATCGGTCTCCCCCAGCACCTCGTCCGCGGGGCGCTGGTTCTCGAAGTGCTCTGGGGGGGGGGGCCCGCTCGCATCCCTTGAGTGTCGTGCGCAGGGCTCTGAAGTCGCACGTGCGGAAAACCTCGGAGGCCTCAGTGTTGATGCTGAACAGGGCACCTAACGTGCGGGGCTCCCAGACGCCCCTCAGCCCCCTGAAATGCGGATGCCCAAGAATCGTTTGGAGGTCCTCATGGAGCTGGCGGGCCCATGGGTGGACGTGCGGGGAGGGGTTCAGCTCGCCGTTTCCAAGTATAGTTATATCGGCTACAGCTGCGCCCACCAAGCGAGCTCTTGACTCGAACTTGCATTCCCCGAAGAAGGCGCTGAGGAAGTGGCGGCGGTGTTCGGGGTTTGCCATGATAGACGGCCACCATCCCAACCTCCTTATCAGAAGTTCAACCCCCGTGGGTGGGATCTCCCACTCCTCGAACGCGGCCCTGGTGGTCAACGACGTGCGCCTGCCATCCTCGTGTTCCGTGTGCGCCGCGCCTGCCATCGTCGCTCTGAGCTTCTTAGCGAGAGAGGTATCGAGGGCCCGCGCCTCCAGGGGGGTGAGCACATATGCCTCCATGCCTGACCAGAGACGGCCTGCAACGCTAGCCAAAAACATGCTGCGCTTGCTCCTCCAGGGGCCAGGCGCAGTCCAGTAGTTCCGAAGGTTACTCCACCCTGTGGAGCCAGCTCTTGTCCGTGCCCTTACCTCGTGCCTGTTGCTACCGTTGATATTAATGTACCCGCCCAAGTGTATCATGTTCATCTTCGTCCTCCCCGATGCTCTCTCCTCGGCCTCCTTGGTGTCCCTGTTAGTGGCTAGGTGCACGAGTGTATCTTGCTTGTCCACGTGCTGTGCGTACCCGCCCTCAGTCAAGTACTTGTCTAATATATGATTGTCCAGATAATCAAGACTCAGGGCCTCGCGTGCAGTCCCACTCGGCACAATGGCGATTCTGATCAGGTCGTCTATGAAACCTCCGAACGCCAGGTAATCCCAGCGGTCGAACAGAGGGCTCTTGCATGCCAGGCTATCTCCCACAACCTGTCCGAGTTCACGCTGCCAGGCACTGACGATCGGGTAGGGGGATTCCATGAACAGCTCGGGTTCGTTCGAATCGCCCATCCTCTCTCCCGTCGTCGGTGTCATCGCCACGTCGCCATCGCTAGCCTCGTAGTAGAGAATGCCCGTGCTCCTGTGGTGCGTGAGTAGCTCATCATAGTGCTCATCCGCTCCTCGAGACCTGCGGGCGTCGTGCAGGCGTGCGTGATGTCCTGTGCCGAACGCGTTTCTCATGTCATACGATTTGACCAGATAATAGTGTTTGCAGCGGCGCAATTTCCACATGACAAGTTTAATGATGATCATGAGCCCCTCCCTCCTCCGATGAATGATCCCGCCGTGCGCCCAGGGGGGGGCTCATATGGGCTACCGTAATCCACTAGGCCCACACGCAACAATAGCCTCCACCAGTGACAGAAGCAGTGCAACAGTCTAAGACACCGTGTGATGTCCATGACCGTGTTGCCCGTAGGTGTCTTGCCTGGCTTGCTTATTGCTATGGCGTGGCTGGTGCGTGCCTGTTGTGGGAGTAGCTGCCTAGCTCGGATATGTGCAAGTAGTTGTAGTAACATATCATATCCCACGCGTGCCTCGACATCATCGACCACCAGCCGGCGGTGTCGAGGTCGGGCTGCCTGGGCCTCGAAGTCCAGGAGGTCGGGGTCGCGTGCTCGCCACGTGGAGCCTAGGCCCTCGCGAGAGAGGCCTGGGCGGAAGAGGTGGGTGGGGAAGAGGAGCAACTTCGTGACCTCCACGGGCCACGACCACGGCGGGGCATACCGGCGGCGATGACAATGTCGTAATCGTTTCTTCAACAATTCTAGATCCTCAGCCGCCATCTCGAAATCCTCGCTCGTGGGTAGGGGGAGGCCTCTGGGTCCGTAGGGTGGTATCTCATCCCAGGGAGTATTGATCAGATCTTGGGAGGAGGAGGAAGAGGAGGATGAGGAGGAGGGAGGAGGAGGAAGAGGAGGAGGAGGAAGGGAGTCGTCGGCTGCCAACTGGAAATTTCACACGTTCTGGGTGCCCCTGCAATCCTGGCGACGTCCGTAACCATGCAGCGCGTCGTGGTCCTGGAAGCGGGAGTAGTCCTGAGGGTCGTAGGAGCTCAGGAATCGATCGAACGAAATGTCGTAGTCGCACTCGTCGTACGCGGCACGGCCGTAATCGTACTCGTCGTAGGCGGCGCGACCGTTGTCAACCAGTGCCTCCACGACTACGTATTCGGTAATCCTTTTCGGGCTGCTGGGTCCTGTCGTTCCTGGTGTCGGCTTTGGTGGCGTATGTGGTGTTGAAGCAGTGGCGGCACTCGTCCTGGGGCTGCCTGTTACGCAGCTCGTTATCCTTCTTGGGCTACCCTGTTACGCAACTCGTTTTCGCCTTGCGGTTGCCTGTTGTGCAGCTTGCGCTCGGACGCGCTCGCGAAGGTGGTTGTAGTAAGGAGTCGTCGGGTCGAGGCTGTATCCCACGCCGGACGTTGTACCCCACTCGTTGTTTGGCCGCGTCTGTTCGCGCCCATGTACCTCTATGTGTGTGTATGGTCTCGGCATCCTTGCCCGTGCGTCTTCATTGCGGTGGGTCAGTCGCGTAGCCTTGTGGTCCAACAGCAGGTAGTCCATGTTGTCATCGCAGCGTGCCTTGGCTTCGAATGTTCTCGAGGTGTTTCACGTCGATCTTTGGGATCGCGTGAATCGTGCAATATTTGATGGCGAATGTCTCGCACTGCGCGCCGTCCGCCGCATGGCGAACAGCAGGCTCGGGCCGGCACCCCCGCCCTCCCGCGAGTGGTGGGGACCCCCCCCGCAGGGGCCAGAATGGCCTTTCTCCTCCTCCTCCTCCTCCTCCTCCTCCTCCTCCTCCTCCTCCTCCTCCCCTTCTTCCTCCTCATCCTCCTCCTTCCTCCTCCCCTTTTTCCTCCTCCTCCTCCTCCTTCTCCTCCTCCTCCTCTTCTCCCTCATCCTCCTCTCCTCCTCCTCCTCCTCCTCTTTCCTCCTATTCCTTCTCCTCCTCCTCCGTCCGCCTCCTCCTCCTCCTCCTCCTCCTCCTCCTCCTCCTCCTCCTACCTCCCCCTCCTCCGCCCTTACCTCCCCCTCCTCCTCCCCCCCCTTCCTCCTTTCCCCGTCCTTCCCGCCCACCCACCCCGCCCGAGGGAGGCCTGCTGCGCGGACGGGCGCTCGCCCTCATCCCTGCGCAGCATGGCCCGCACGAGGTCCTGGCCTCGGCCAGCCCCCGCGCGGGCGGCGCGGCCCCCCCGCCGGGGCCGAGCCGGGCCCTCGGGTGAGGGCAGCGTGCTCTGCTGCTGTTTTGCGTTTCGTGTGCGTCACTGGAGGGCAGAGCATCCACCCCCAGGATGACCACCCCGACGCGCGAAACCGTTCAGCAAACGCACCCACAGGAGGAACCGAAGAGGGCAAGGCTGTTTCGTAAGCGCTCAAGGCCGTTTAAGTGAACGCCAGTTATCCTCCGAGGGTTCTCGCAACGTGCGCCAGGGCCAACGTGTGCTCTCGGTTTGAGCAGGGACCGACCGTCCCAGCATTCCCATAGTCCTACCACGAAATGTTCTTAGAACCCACAAACATTCTAAGAGCATAAACAATGTTCTTAGAACATATAAGACCGAGGTGCTAAAGCAAGACAATATCAACCAGAAATATTCTAAGAACATTTCGTGGAAACCACAACAAGCTCTTAAAACCTTGTTTGATAGGGCTATGGGCGAGCCAGGACGCTTCGCCACTGCTTGACCAGCGCGACGCCGCAGGCGGCATGGTGCGGGTCGGCGAAGGCGGCGCGCCGCCGACGGAGCCGAGCGGCGAAACGCACACGCGTCGGGCCGACACACGTCCGGAGGGTCGTCGAACTGCGGCGGAGGCCAGTCCACGAGAGACCCTCCACGAGACACCCGACCCTGAGATTCTAGGACGTCCACTGGCTTTCGTCGGCTACGCGTAAGAGTGACCCTGGGTAAGAGTGACCTTTGGTGCGCGGCTTTTTGGGGACCGCGGGGAGGCCAAACCTGGGCGCGCAAGCCCCTGCTGCCGCTTCGCTTTCAGCCATGTGGGGGCCCATCTGTGCCCGCACCAAAGGCCACTCTGGCGGAAGGTCACTCCTGCGTCGAGTCGATTTCGGCGCGGGAGCGCGACGCTTTCCATCGCAGAGCCGCCGAAACCAGAGAGATCCGGGGCACCCTGGAGGCAAGCAGGGTGTTTCTTGGCGTGGGCCTCCACTGTGGTCTCCCGGGTCTGCCCCCCCGTGCGGCTCGCGCACGGCGTGGGTCCCTGCGGGTGAGCCGCGAACCCTGTGCCCCCTCGCCGGGCAGCGTGGGGGGCATACTACGGGTGGGAAGCCAGAGGGTGCTCTGTACATGTGTGTCTGTACATATATATATATATATACACATACAAGACTGCAGTGGCGCTTCGCGCCATGCACCTTGGTCCTTGAAGTTTGGTGGGCAGGCGGAAATGGCAGGAAGGTCAAGCTGACAATTTAGCGATAACTCCTTGCTGCCTTTTCTGGCATCGCCGTTATAATAATGTTGTTCGTCATCCTTTCTCCATGCTTATTTTTCCTCATTCTCGCCATACCCTGGGCATTCTCCCCATCCTCCTCAGCTCTTTTTGCGGAGGCTCCTCCTTGGTAGGCCTCTGGGGGCCTCACCAAAGTTCTCAGGCTTTTTAAAAGCCTTTTGGAGGCCTCCTGGGTGTGTTCTGGGGGCCTCTGGGGCTTTCTAAGGCCAACCTGCCTCTAACCGCGGTCTCCCTGAACGCCTCAGTCACGATTTGGAATGCTTCGGAGGGTGTCTTGGGGCCATCTTGGGCCGCCATGGTGCTCTCTTAGGGCCATTCTGGACTCCTGTTGTGCCGTTTTGGGGCTCTCTTGAACTGCCTGGAAGCCCTTTCGGATGGTTGTGGGGCGATTTGGGAGCCTCCCAGGCGGCTTCGGACGCCTAGGAGACCGCCGTCTTGGAGCGTCGTGAAGCCGAAAAGAGGAGAACCCCAAATGCACCAGAAACCTATGTAGAATCAATGATTTTTCTCTTTGGGGGCCTTCTTGGGGGTGCTCTTGGAGGCCTCTTGGTACGTTTTGGAGCGATCTTTCGGGGTATGACGGCTTCTTGGAGCGCTCTTGTGCTGTCTTGGGGGTCTTTGGGACGTCTCCGGTGACCCCCCTGATCGCCCTGGGTGTGCTGCGAAGGCTTGGTAAAGCGCCCTGCGAGGCGCAGGGGCCGCTTCGAGGCCCGTCCGGAGGGTCCCAAAGCTCCAGATCCCGGGGGTCCGGTTTTAGGGGGGGGGGGACGGGTTTTCCCCCCGCCAGGGCTTATGAACATATAGGAATACAAGACTGCAGTGGCGCTTCGCGCCACGCACCTTGGTCCTTGAAGTTTGGTATGCAGGCGGACATGGCAGGAAGGTCAAGCTGACAATTTAGCGATAACTCCTTGCTGCCTTTTCTGGCATCGCCGTTGTTATAATGTTGTTCGTTATCCTTCCTCCATGCTTATTTGTCCTCGCTCTCGTCATACCCTGCGCATTCTCCCCATCCTCCTCAGCTCTTTTTGCGGAGGCTCCTCCTTGGAGAGCCTCTGGGGGCCTCACCAAAGTTCTCAGGCTTTTTTCAAAGCCTTCTGGAGGCCTCCTGGGTGTGTTCTGGGGGCCTCTGGGGCTTCCTAAGGCAAATCTGCCTCCAACCGCGGTCTCCCTGAACGCCCCAGTCACGATTTGGAATGCTTCGGAGGGTGTCTTGGGGCCATCTTGGGCCGCCATGGTGCTCTCTTAGGGCCAGTTTGGACTCCTGTTGTGTCGTTTTGGGGCTCTCTTGGACTGCCTGGAATCCCTTTCGGATGGTTGTGGGGCGATTTTGGAGCCTCCCAGGCGGCTTCGGACGCCTAGGAGACCGCCGCCTTGGAGCGTCGGGAAGCCGAAAAGAGGAGAACCCTAAATGCACCAAAATCCTACATAGAATCAATGAATTTTCCCTCTTGGGGCCTTCGTGGGGGTGCTCTTGGAGGCCTCTTGGTACGTTTTGGAGCGATCTTTCGGGGTATGACGGCTTCTTGGAGCGCTCTTGTGCTGTCTTGGGGGTCTTTGGGACGTCTCCGGTGACCCCACTGATCGCCCTGGGTGTGCTGCGAAGGCTTGGCAAAACGCCCTGCGAGGCCCAGGGGGCCGCTTCGAGGCCCGTCCGGAGGGTCCCAAAGCCCCAGATCCCGGGGGTCCGGTTTTAGGGGGGGGGGACGGGTTTTCCCCCCGCCCGGGCTTATAAAAATATAGGAAGAGGAATCAATATATATATATATATATATATATACATATGTATATATATATATATATATATACAAACCCAGACATGCGACGTCCTGATTTTTTCAAGACGGCGTCCCCGGAAATCCCGACCGTTTCCCCAGGGCCGGTTTTTCGCCCTGAGTCGTTTTTTGACGGTCCCGAGGCCTGGCGACGGCCCCCCGAGGCCGAGAGTAGCCAAAAACCCTCTGTCCTGATTTGCTTTACGACGCGATCATGTCTGGGAACATCAAGAGATATAGGGAGGGAGAGTTACGAGGGTATCTGAATATCTGTATACGCATATGACTATATCCGCCGGCCCCCTCCGGGGGCGCAGGGCCGCGGAGGTGTGTGCGGTCTGCCGTCATGTGTCATGCGCTGTCGTTTGTTGTTTGGCCCGTTGTCTCTCCAATCCGCTTTCGTGCCTCCCGTTTACTGCCTGCTAGGGGGCCCCGCCGCGCCACCAAACAGCCAACGGGGGGGGGGTGAACCTCAAATCCTGGCTCCTCCAGGCCACCCCAGGATTCTCATGGCGACGCCACCGCGCGGCCAGA